ATGTAGTACGCATAAGAATAAGAGATGCTAAATACTACGTATGTCAGTAGCCGCTATAGGCTGGCTCATGCACTGAACATCGTCAAGCATCTTATTGACATTGACATACTACATTTGTAAAGTCCCGTTCACGCACAGAGCATAAAGCAAAATAAGGGGACGCCGCGGAAAAGGAGATACAGTTCCAGGCACCAGATCCCTATGGGGGACCTTACCCACCCACCTTGGCCTCGAACTGGTCGATTCTCTTGTTCATCCGCTCCTTCATGGAGTCGAGGCGCGCGCCTTCCTCATTGAGCTGCTGCAGCTTCAGCTTCCTCTCCTGCGGGAGCAGGGCAGGCGCAAATGGTGACCGGGGCCCGAGAGTCGCCGGGGAGGCTCACAAACGGCCAACGTCAGCCGGGATGCCAGCAGGCCGCCAGTCCCACAAATTCACAATAACTGCACCACACAAACTGCCAATTGAGCCTCAGTCCTCAGCTCAATGGACCGCTCCCCGTGGCGTCGGACCTCTCCAGTCTCCTCTCCGCGTGACCTTCCCCCTCGATCATTCTGTTCCCGACCCGCCCCTCCCTGTGTCCCTTACCTCGGGGTCTGCGGGCAGCTGGTCCAGGCTCTGTGTCCTCTCCCCTCCCTCCCTCACCTCGGGGTCAGCCGGCAGCTGGTCCATGCTCTGTGTCCCCGCCCCTCCCTCCCTTACCTCCGGGTCTGCTGGCAGCTGGTCCAGGCTCTGTGTCCCCGCCCCTCCCTCCCTTACCTCCGGGTCTGCTGGCAGCTGGTCCAGGCTCTGTGTCCCTTCCCCTCCCTCCCTCCCTCACCTCGGGGTCAGCCGGCAGCTGGTCCATGCTCTGTGTCCTCTCCCCTCCCTCCCTCACCTCGGGGTCGGCGGGCAGCTGGTCCATGCTCTGTGTCCTCTCCCCTCCCTCACCTCGGGGTCGGCGGGCAGCTGGTCCATGCTCTGTGTCCCTCCCCTCCCTCCCTCACCTCGGGGTCAGCCGGCAGCTGGTCCAGGCTCTGTGTCCCGTCCCGCCCCTCCCTGTGTCCCTCACCTCGGGGTCCGCTGGCAGCTGGTCCAGGCTCTGTGTCCCGTCTGTCCCCTCCCTCCCTCACCTCGGGGTCGGCGGGCAGCTGGTCCACCCTCTGTGTCCTCTCCCCTCCCTCACCTCGGGGTCGGCGGGCAGCTGGTCCATGCTCTGTGTCCCTCCCCTCCCTCCCTCACCTCGGGGTCAGCCGGCAGCTGGTCCAGGCTCTGTGTCCCGTCCCGCCCCTCCCTGTGTCCCTCACCTCGGGGTCTGCCGGCAGCTGGTCCATGCTCTGTCTCCCGTCTGTCCCTCCCTTACCTCGGGGTCTGCCGGCAGCTGATCCACCCTCTGTGTCCCCTCCCCTCCCTCCCTCACCTCGGGGTCCGCCGGCAGCTGGTCCAGGCTCTGTGTCCCCTCCCAGCTCCCTCCCTCACCTCGGGGTCAGCCGGCAGCTGGTCCAGGCTCTGTGTCCCCTCCCAGCTCCCTCCCTCACCTCGGGGTCTGCCGGCAGTTCTGCCACCCTCTGTGTCCTCTCCCCTCCCTCACCTCCAGGTCTGCCGGCAGCTGGTCCAGGCTCTGTGTCCCGTCTGTCCCCTCCCTCCCCTCGGGGTCCGCTGGCAGCTGGTCCATGCTCTGTGTCCCCTCCCCCCTCACCTCGGGGTCTGCTGGCAGCTGGTCCAGGCTCTGTGTCCCTTCCCCTCCCTCCCTCCCTCACCTCGGGGTCAGCCGGCAGCTGGTCCATGCTCTGTGTCCTCTCCCCTCCCTCCCTCACCTCGGGGTCGGCGGGCAGCTGGTCCATGCTCTGTGTCCTCTCCCCTCCCTCACCTCGGGGTCGGCGGGCAGCTGGTCCATGCTCTGTGTCCCTCCCCTCCCTCCCTCACCTCGGGGTCAGCCGGCAGCTGGTCCAGGCTCTGTGTCCCGTCCCGCCCCTCCCTGTGTCCCTCACCTCGGGGTCCGCTGGCAGCTGGTCCAGGCTCTGTGTCCCGTCTGTCCCCTCCCTCCCTCACCTCGGGGTCGGCGGGCAGCTGGTCCACCCTCTGTGTCCTCTCCCCTCCCTCACCTCGGGGTCGGCGGGCAGCTGGTCCATGCTCTGTGTCCTCTCCCCTCCCTCCCTCACCTCGGGGTCGGCGGGCAGCTGGTCCATGCTCTGTGTCCTCTCCCCTCCCTCCCTCACCTCGGGGTCTGCTGGCAGCTGGTCCATGCTCTGTGTCCTCTCCCCTCCCTCCCTCACCTCGGGGTCGGCGGGCAGCTGGTCCATGCTCTGTGTCCCTCCCCTCCCTCCCTCACCTCGGGGTCAGCCGGCAGCTGGTCCATGCTCTGTGTTCCGCCCATCCCCTCCCTCACCTCGGGGTCCGCTGGCAGCTGGTCCACGCTCTGTGTCCCGTCCCCTCCCCTCCCTCCCTCACCTCGGGGTCAGCCGGCAGCTGGTCCAGGCTCTGTGTCCCCTCCCCTCCCTCCCTCACCTCGGGGTCAGCCGGCAGCTGGTCCATGCTCTGTGTCCTGTCTGTCCCTCCCTTACCTCGGGGTCAGCCGGCAGCTGGTCCATGCCCTGCTCGTATTTGGCCTGCCGCTCCAGGTACTCCTTGGTGTCGTCGCGGATGTCGTCCAGGATGAGCTGCGTCTCGGCCACGCGGTACTGGATCTCCAGGGCCTCCTCCTCGTCACTGTCCGGCAGTAGCTGGTCCACCGGGACGCCGGAGAGCGCGGCCAGCTCGGCGCCGTACGCGCGCACCAGCACCGACCGCTTCCGGGCTGCCAGGGACCGGGGAGGGGACGGTCAGTAGGGGAGACAGTACAGCACCGACCACTTCCGGGCTGCGGGGAGGGGACGGTCAGTAGGGGAGACAGTACAGCACCGACCACTTCCGGGCTGCGGGGAGGGGACGGTCAGTGGGACCGGGGAGGGGACGGTCAGTGAGACCGGGGAGGGGTCGGTCAGTAGAACCGGGGAGGGGACGGTCAGTAGGACCGGAGAGGGGACGGTCAGTAGGACCGGGCAGGGGACGGTCAGTGGGACCGGGGAGGGGACGGTCAGTAGGACCGGGGAGGGGAACCGTCAGTAGGACCGGGGAGGGGACGGTCAGTGGGACCGGGGAGGAGACGGTCAGTAGGACCGGGGAGGGGGAACCGTCAGTAGGACCGGGGAGGGGACGGTCAGTGGGACCGGGGAGGAGACGGTCAGTAGGACCGGGGAGGGGACGGTCAGTAGGACCGGGGAGGAGACGGTCAGTGGGACCGGGCAGGGGACGGTCAGTGGGACCGGGGAGGGGACGGTCAGTAGGACCGGGGAGGGGGAACCGTCAGCAGGACCGGGGAGGGGACGGTCAGTGGGACCGGGGAGGAGACGGTCAGTAGGACCGGGGAGGGGGAACCGTCAGTAGGACCGGGGAGGGGACGGCCAGTGGAACCGGGGAGGAGACGGTCAGTAGGACCGGGGAGGGGACGGTCAGTAGGACCGGGGAGGAGACGGTCAGTGGGACCGGGGAGGGGACGGTCAGTAGGACCGGGCAGGGGACGGTCAGTGGGACCGGGGAGGGGGAACCGTCAGTAGGACCGGGGAGGGGACGGTCAGTGGGACCGGGGAGGAGACGGTCAGTAGGACCGGGGAGAGGACGGTCAGTAGGACCGGGGAGGAGACGGTCAGTGGGACCGGGGAGGGGACGGTCAGTAGGACCGGGCAGGGGACGGTCAGTGGGACCGGGGAGGGGACGGTCAGTAGGACCGGGGAGGGGACGGTCAGTAGGACCGGGGAGGGGACGGTCAGTAAGACCGGGGAGGGGACGGTCAGTAGGACCGGGGAGGGGACGGTCAGTGGGGAGGGAGTGCAGTACGGCGGGACAGAGGACACGGAACACAGCGGACACAGCGGGAGGAACAGAACGGGTACAACGGGAGGAAAAGAGTGCGTACAACGGGAAGAACAGAGCGGATACAACGGGAAGAACAGAGTGGGTACAACGGGAAGAACGGAGCGGGTACAGCGGGAGGTACAGAGCGGGTACAGCGGGAGGTACAGAGCGGGTACAGCGGGAGGTACGGAGCGGAGACACACCCGGCAGTCGTAGGAATAGTCCCTGTATGTAGGACGTTTTCAATTTGCATGCTAGGGGGACGAACTGGGACGGCCACACGACCCCAGCCAGTCAGATTAGTTTCCCAGCAGACCAGTAATCACACGCACATTCTGCGGAGATGGACATTGCCTCTGTTCTGCCCATCTACAGGCCGATTTTAGTCGTAATATGTTATTCGGACGCCAAATTCAGAGCGCTCCCAAGTAAGTTTTTTTTTGCGCGAGCCTGATGTTTACCAGCCTATCAAAACAGACTTCGTTGGCATTGAAAACCCAGAAGCTGACGCCTAGCGAACCCTGACAGTGGAAAGCGGCCCGTCCTGCGCACATACTTCAACTGGCTGCAGCTGCCGCCACGAGCCGCCCACAGACAATACCCGAGAGTGTTTGTATGGAGTACGAGAGCGACTAGTCTCCTCAGGAGACCTCAGTGCTTTACCAACCGAGCTGCGGGGCGGACCACGCAGACCATGCAAACAATTTGCTGTCGACCGACATCCCAAGGAGACAAACTTTTCTTCTATAGCAGCAAGCACCCAGCTTTGCATCGATAAATGTTCGTATTCGCACGTGATTTCTTCTTTACCCAAACGTCTTCGTGATATTTGCACCAAAGCTCATGCAGTTACGGTCTTGTTTCCATGCACGTCTCATTAGATTTTCCCCCGAGAACTGCGGCTGGCACGGTCCTGAGCATTGCACAATGCACCGCTGTCGTGCCATCATGCACAGTCACCCACCTGGCTGGTCGGTGACACAACTGTGACGTCACCGGTGTCGAGGCAGTGCTGACGATGACGTCACTGGTGACCGAGTTATTATTGCCGCGAGGAGAGTGCTCCTTTTAGAGCTTCTCTCTCCAGACGCGAACTCTGAGTCGCACGACACAGCCTCAAACTAGCGTGAAACGTGCTTCCAGGACGTTTATTAAAAAAAGGCGGCGATAACACGCAAGTCATCCAAACCAACAAACGAAATGAGCGTCTTAACACTAAGCTAGACTATGAAAGCACATCCCACCAGATATCAAGTTCAGACCATCGCAAGTGGAGCGAAAAGTGACCCCGATTCCTCCACTGCCCGAGCGGAGGGTCGCAAGCGCTCCGGGCTCCCACATAAGGTTCGCCCAGCTTTGCGGCAGCATCGTCAACTATAATCGCCGATATTCACCACATTGGATGGTGGACAAAATTCACCACTTTGGAACACCACTAGCCGCGCGCACTTTTGACGTTTGTTTGACGTGTTGATTGTAACGTCTAACAGTTCCGGGAACCAGGCAGGGTCAGCCAGACAACGGTTGACCCTTGGATCTCAAACATCGTCTACCAGCCAACAGAAAGAAGCAGTGCCCCCGAAGAAGCATAGCAGAGTGTCCCCCAGTCATTAAAGAACATACCTCAGCCATCAGCAATCGTCCCTCAGCAACCAGAAAGCGTCACGCATCCACCAGAGAGAGACTTTAAGCCATTAGAGAACACCACTCAGCCGTCAAAGAGCGTCGCTTGGCCATCACTTGGTCTCTCAGCCACCAAACACGGTCCTCAGCCATCAGAGAGCGTCCCTCAGTCCCCACAGAGCGTCCCTCAGCCCCCACAGAGCGTCCCTCAGCAATCAGAGAGCATCTCCCGTCTATCAGAAAGCGTCCCTCAGCAATCAGAGAGCATCTCCTGTCCATCAGAGAGCATCCGTACTCCGTTGACCATCGCAGAGCGTCTCTCAGCCACCAGGCAGCGGTCCTCAGCCGTCGGAGAGCGTTACTAAGCCTCAGAGAGCGTCCGACAGCCGTCATACACCGTCTCTCAGCCACCAGCCAACGGTATTTGTCATCAGCAATCGCCCCTCAGCCGTCAGAGCGTCCTCCGCCAGCCACGAGGAAACGACCATTAGCCCTCAGAGCATTCCTCAGCCATCAGAGAGCGTTCCTCAGATCATGAAATCTCACCCATTAGCCATCAGACGCTGCCATTAGCCATCAGACAGCGACTTTAAGCCACAAGACGACCATAAGCATTCAGCAACGTCCACTGACCACGGTCTGGCGGCCATCAGCCGTTGCCTGTGTCCTCCCGCTGGCTGAAGTGGAGGCGGCCGTTCGGTTTCTCAGCCAGCAGCTCCCCCTCAGACAGCAGCTCTCCGTCGTCCGACTGGAGCTGGCCGTCCCCAGGCTCGTCAGACAGCAGCTGCCACGAGGAGGAATCCGAGCTGACGTCCCACAGGGCAAAGGACGAGCCGGAGTCCGTCCCCTCGGCCTCAACTCCGCGGCCGGCAGCCCCTCCGTCATCTGCACCCTCGCCATCGTCACCCTCGCCATCGTCACACTCGTCGTCGGCACCCTCGTCGCCGTCACCCTCGTCGTCGTCACCCTCGCCATTACTTTCGTCGTCGATATCGCTTTCTTCGTCGTTACCTTTGCTGCCCTCATCGTCTTTGCTGCCGTCACCGTCTTGGTTGTGGTCACCGTCTTGGTTGTGGTCACCGTCTTGGTTGTGGTCACCGTCTTGGTTGTGGTCACCGTCTTTGTGGTGGTCACCGTCTTTGTTGTGGTCACCGTCTTTGTTGTGGTCATCGTCTTTGTTGTGGTCACCGTCTTTGCTGCTGAAAACGTCTTTGCTGTTGACACCGTCTTTGCTGTTGACACCGTCTTTGCTGTTGACACAGTCTTTGCTGTTGACACCGTCTTTGCTGTTGACACCGTCTTTGCTGTTGACACCGTCTTTGCTGTTGACACCGTCTTTGCTGTTGACACCGTCTTTGCTGTTGTCATCGCTGTGGTCGTCATCGCTGTGGTCGTCATCGCTGTCGTCGTCATCGCTGTCGTCATCGCTGTGGTCGTCATCGCTGTCGTCGTCATCACTGTCGTCATCGCTGTCGCCGTCATCGCTGTCGTCATCACTGCCATCGTCATCGTCGCCGTAACGGCTTTCGTCATCATACTCTTCATTCGGTTCGTCCTCATACTGTCCGTCCTCCTCCTCCCCATGCTGTCCGTCCTCCTCCCCATGCTGTCCATCTTCCTCCTCCCCATAATGTCCGTCTTCCCCCTCATACTGTCCGCTCTCCTCATCCTGTCCATCCTCCACCTCCTCCTCCCCATACTGTCCGTTCTCCTCCTCCCCATACTGTCCGTCCTCTTCCTCCTCCTCATACTGTCCGTTCTCCTCCTCCCCATACTTTCCGTCCTCTTCCTCCTCCTCATACTGTCCGTCCTCTTCCTCCTCATCACACCGCCCGTCCTCTTCCTCCTCCCCATACTGTCGGTCCTCCTCCCCATACTGCCCGTCCTCCTCCCCATACTGCCCGTCCTCCTCCCCATACTGCCCGTCCTCCTCCCCATACTGCCCGTCCTCCTCCCCATACTGCCCGTCCTCCTCCCCATACTGCCCGTCCTCCTCCCCATACTGCCCGTCCTCCTCCCCATACTGCCCGTCCTCCTCCTCCCCATACTGTCCGTCCTCCTCCTCCCCATACTGTCCGTCCTCCTCCCCATACTGTCCGTCCTCCTCCTCCCCATACTGTCCGTCCGCCTCCTCCCCATACTGTCCGTCGTCCTCCTCCTCATACTGTCCGTCCTCCTCCTCCCCATACTGTCCGTCCTCCTCCTCCCCATACTGTCCGTCCTCCTCCTCATACTGTCCGTCCTCCTCCTCATACTGTCCGTCCTCCTCCCCATACTGTCCGTCCTCCTCCCCATACTGTCCGTCCTCCTCCCCGTACTGTCCGTCCTCCTCCCCATACTGTCCGTCCTCCTCCCTAAACTGCCTGTACTCCTCCTCCTCCTCATACTCTTCGTCGTCGTCGTCGTCGTCGTCGTCGTCGTCGTCGTCCTCCTCCTCCTCCTCCCCATACTGTCCGTCCTCCTCCTCCTCCTCCTCCCCATACTGGCTGTCCTCCTCCTCATATCCTTCGTCGTCGTCGTCGTCGTCGTCGTCATCGTCGTCGTCATCGTCGTCGTCGTCATCGTAGTCATCGTCGTCGTCATCGTCGTCGTCATCGTCGTCGTCATCGTCGTCGTCATCGTCATCGTCGTCATCGTCGTCATCGTCGTCATCGTCGTCTTCCTCTTCCTCCTCCCCATACTGTCTGCCCTCCGCCTCCTCCCCATACTGTCCGTCCTCCTCCTCATACTGTCCGTCCTCCTCCCCATGCTGTCCGTCACTCAGTCCCTGCCTCTGAGGGGCGCCGTCCGCACAGGGCTGGCCCGGGACGCCGCACACTCGCGATGTGATCAGCGCGACCTCTTCATCCAGTAGCGGGGAGGACATCAAATCGCTGACGGGATCAGACAGGAGGACCCCGGCCCAGGGCGGCGCCCAGGTGGGGCTCGCTGTCCAGTCATATGGTGTAAAGGCCGTCCCTATATTGTGTGTAACCATCCTCTTCGATCTATTGATGTTCAACATCAGACCGCCGCCGTTACTCCAGAATCGACAGAGGGTCCCCTTTGAACACACACCCGAGCAGAGCACCCCACAGCCGCGGTCATCGTCCAGCAGCTCAGAGACCATCCTCTCCAGGCGGGAGGCCAGACCCGGAGACGGCGCTCGCAGCGGCTGACACGGGGACGGGTCGCGGTCCACCAGGTCAGAGACCATCCGCTCCAGGCGGGAGGCCAGACCTGGGGACGGGGCACGCCGCTCTCGAACCGTGGACGGGTCACGCCGCTCTCGACCCGAGGACGGGTTACCGTGCAGACCCGGGGACGGGTTACCGTGGAGATCCGGGGACGGACCGCGCCGCCCCTGGCGGGAGGACAGACCTGGGAATGGGGCGCGCCTCTGACCTAAAGAGGAAACGTTCGGCCCCTGACCTCGGGACGGGGCGCGCAGCGGCTGACCTGGTGACGGGTCATGGTCCACCAGGTCTGAGACCATTTTCTCCAGGCGGGAGGCCAGACCCGGAGACGGGACGCGCGAGAGGGTGCTCTGCCTCTGACGTGGGGAGGGGACGCTCTGCCCCTGACCCGGGGTCAGGTCACGGTCCCGACTCGGGGAGGGGACGCTCTGCCCCTGACCCGGGCTCAGCTCACGGTCCGGACTCGGGGAGGGTGTTGGCTGCTCACCCCGCTCCTGCCTGCCGACGGAGAAGGCGTCCTGCCACAGTGCGCGGCGGGCCGCCGGCCGGGCGGCGGCGGCGCCGCGCCGCGCCTCCCTCTGCGGACAGTCCTCGTCGGAGCCCGTCTCGGCCTCGTCCACCAGGTGGTCGTCGTTGTCGCTGCCGGAGTCGCCGCTGGCGCCGCCGCCCTCGGAGCTCGTCTCGCTGTCGTACCCGCCGCTGGAGGCTCCGTTCGCGCCGTGCCCGTTGGAGGCGCCGTTGGCAGCCCCGTTGGCAGCGCCGTTGGCAGCGCCGTTAGCGGCCCCGTTGGCGGCTCCGTTAGCGGCTCCGTTGGCGGCCCCGTTGGCGGCCCCGTTGGCAGCTCCAGCCGCACGATTTGCATCGCTCTGGAAACAGAAAACCTGTTCAACTCCTCGACACTCAAACAGGATAGAAGTTAGTAGTTCGGCGGCGAGGGAGTTACTGGACAGAGGGTGCCGACTATGTGCTAAATGCAACCCGTGTCAGAGCGACTACAGGTACGGACAGTTACGGTATCTAAGCACGGAACAACAATCGGTGTTACGTATCCAGTGGCTCGTGACAGAAAATTACACTTGTGCTTTCACTACCAAAGTGAGTACGGTTTGAAAATATCAAGCGTTGCTTCTCAATAACAGTAACATTCACGATAGCAATGTTCTCAGCATCCGCAAATAAAGCCGATAAACATAAATTGGGACTGACGAGACGTCCAGTGCGTTCCAAAATGTCAGCCCGCCCTCGCACTGCTCTGTAACACATAGACGCTTAGAACTCACCAGTGCCTCCATGTTCTGCTGGATGGTCTCGTAGTTGAGCAGCATGTTGAGCACCTTGGTGAAGCCGTGGGAGGAGGCGATCATCACAGGAGTCAGCCCGCTCTGTGAACGGAGCAGCAGGCTCATCAGGAGGCTGGCCTGACTGCAAGTCGTCACTAAAAGCGACACGATTCGATGATGCCGCATACATAGAACTGAGCGCACGCCTCAGCACTGCGTCAATGAAAAATGTTGCCGAGTCACATTACGCAACATATTTGTGTATTTGCACAAATATGTTGTATTTGTGCAACATATTTGCAACATATTTGTATACGTGTATTCATAAGGTATGACGGCTTATATGTTTTGGGTAAAAGGCAAACTCTCAAGCCGTGTTTACAAACTGAGTACCTGCTGTTTGCGGCGCGGGTAGGCACCGGTGCCCCCCTCTCCCCCCCCCCAGCCACTGACCTGCAGTTTGCGGCGCGGGTCGACGCCGGTGCCCCCCCCTCTCCCTCGCGGTGACCTGCCACTGACCTGCAGTTGGCGGTGCGGGTCGGCGCCGGTGCCACCTCTCTCCCCCGCGGTGACCTGCCACTGACCTGCTGTTTGCGGCGCGGGTCGGCGCCGGTGCCCCCCCCCCCCCTCTCCCCCGCGGTGACCTGCCACTGACCTGCAGTTGGCGGTGCGGGTCGGCGCCGGTGACCTGCCACTGACCTGCAGTTGGCGGTGCGGGTCGGCGCCGGTGACCTGCCACTGACCTGCAGTTGGCGGTGCGGGTCGGCGCCCTTGGCCAGCAGCAGCAGCGTCAGGTCGGCGTGGCCGCCGTCCACGGCCACCGACAGCGGCGTCATGGTCTTGTTGAGCGGGCTGTCCACCTGTGCGCCGCGCTCGATCAGCAGCTCGGCGGTGTCCGTGTGACCGGCGGCGCAGGCGGCGATCAGCGGGGTCCGACCGTCCATCGTACGGTAGTTCTGGGGGAGTCGAGGGGATACAGGTCTGAGGTCACTACCGTATATCTCAGGCGGCGATCAGCGGGGTCCGCCCGTCCATCGTACGGTAGTTCTGGGGGAGTCGAGGGGATACAGGTCAACACTGTGTATCTCAGGCGGCGATCAGCGGGGTCCGCCCGTCCATCGTACGGTAGTTCTGGGGGAGTCGAGGGGATACAGGTCACCACTGTGTATCTCAGGCGCCCGTCCATCGTACGGTAGTTCTGGGAGTCGAGAGGGCACCGGTCAACGGGAGCCGAGAGGGCACAGGTCAACTTTGTATACCTCAGGCGCCCGTCCATCGTACGGTAGTTCTGGGAGAGTCGAGAGGGCACTGGTCAACGGGAGTCGAGAGGGCACAGGTCACCACTGTATACCTCAGGCGGCCGTCCATCGTACGGTAGTTCTGGGGGAGTCGAGGGGATACAGGTCAGTGGTCACTACTGTGTATCCCAGGCGCCCGTCCATCGTACGGTAGTTCTGGGGGAGCCGAGAGGGATACATGTCAACGCTGTATGTATAGACCAGGCGGCGATCAGCGGGGTCCGCCCGTCCATCGTACGGTAGTTCTGGGGGAGTCGAGGGGATACAGGTCAACTTTGTATACCTCAGGCGCCCGTTCATCGTATGGTAGTTCTGGGGGAGCCGAGAGGGTACTGGTCTGAGGTCACTACCGTATATCACAGGCGGCGATCAGCGGGGTCCGCCCGTCCATCGTACGGTAGTTCTGGGGGAGTCGAGAGGATACAGGTCTGAGGTCACTACCGTATATCTCAGGCGGCGATCAGCGGGGTCCGACCGTCCATCGTACGGTAGTTCTGGGAGAGTCGAGAGGATACAGGTCACTACTGTGTACCTCAGGCGGCCGTCCATCGTACGGTAGTTCTGGGGGAGTCCAGAGGGGATACAGGTCACCACTGTGTATCTCAGGCGGCGATCAGCGGGGTCCGACCGTCCATCGTACGGTAGTTCTGGGGGAGCCGAGGGGATACAGGTCAACTTTGTATACCTCAGGCGCCCGTTCATCGTATGGTAGTTCTGGGGGAGCCGAGAGGGTACTGGTCTGAGGTCACTACCGTACATCACAGGCGGCGATCAGCGGGGTCCGGCCGTCCATCGTACGGTAGTTCTGGGGGGGGGGGGGGTCGAGGGGATACAGGTCACTACTGTGTATCACAGGCGGCGATCAGCGGGGTCCGGCCGTCCATCGTACGGTAATTCTGGGGGAGCCGAGGGGATACAGGTCAACTTTGTATACCTCAGGCGCCCGTTCATCGTATGGTAGTTCTGGGGGAGCCGAGAGGGTACTGGTCTGAGGTCACTACCGTACATCACAGGCGGCGATCAGCGGGGTCCGGCCGTCCATCGTACGGTATTTCTGGGGGAGCCGAGGGGATACAGGTCA